AAAAGTGAATGCATGTTTAGGGTCATCGTAGTGGTAGGGGTTCTTCACATTTAGATGGGGGACTTTCCACTATCCATTAAATTATGAGCCGTTAATTATTTGAAAACAATTCCTTTGGTTTAGCTTGAAGCTGGAACAAATAAATGATCTGCCATGTTATGTTAGGTTGATCGGGAATACTGTAGCAGCGGTAGTTGCAAAAATGATCGTGCCAAATAAAAAATGAAACAAAATTGTCAACACTTAAAATTCAACAACGAAGATGAGAGTGGAGTCGAAACAAATTTTATTCACAGCGAGAAGTAAATCATTTACATCAACTATTACATATATATAAATTAGTACAGACTGAGACAAGAGGATTAGTGAGCAACACGTCACTTCGATAAGAGAATTGTAGACACAATTATCGCAACACTGAAAGTTTGCTCTCAACACAGGAAAAGCCCTAAGGCAGTGAGCAAATAACTTAGGAATATACTTTCTGTTTTATCTAACTGATTGAAATATAATTATTTTATACAATAGATTTACAGTCACTTATGACTGTTTTCATTAACACAACATAGTTTCCATTCCATATCAGATTTAACAAGTAATATTCAAACATGAAATACACACAAGCATTCTTAATTCTCAGCAAAACAAATTATCCGAGCTGAACTTTAGCATACATGGCTATATGTATTCAATAAACAAGCTGAGTAAAACAAACGAAAATTGTCAGTATCTTAACTATCTTAATATCCTTACACCAGTCAAATGAATATATGTCTGTGCATGGATTAACATCGTTTAAATTGTTACCTATTAAATCCACTTCCTCACCGAATGTAATGCTCAGTTTTCTGAAATTTTGGGCATTATGATGAAGAGAACAATGAAAAGATTTTAGAGGCAAAAAGCTCATCTGCAATTTTAAAATGTTTTAAAGAAAAAATTAAAAAAGGATACCAACGACATAAAAGAATATGTAGCCATCTTCGACACATTCAGAAATAACCTCTGCTTCTGCTCTTTCTTCAACGTGATTATCATCGAAATGCATCCAGATATTTCTGTTTAGGTTCTTTACATCACATACATAATGTCCTGAATATCATCAACATATTTAGTTTCTGTTCAGTAAGGTTAAACGATAGATCTTTTGAAATTAAGTGGAAATCTAAAGCATTTCTGGGTATAGTACAAATTATGCTTAAAAAGTGTCTTGTAGATGTTCTCTAACAGTCGCAATTATTAAGTGAATGCTAACCGCTATTTGGACCAATCCCTTTATGACTGATAACTGCAGCAAGGTGATAATCACATATTGCACCATTCTACAAAAAACGTAAGACATCCATGGAAATATATTGAAGAAAGGCTCATACGAACAGCTGAACTGACAAACTTTTCCTCAAAAAATGTTTAAAATATACAAAAAAAGATTGTTCGGATTTCAGAAACAAAAGAATTTTAAGAAAATCAATATCAGCAGCGGCATTCAAATCAATAAACATACCGAAATAATGTCAAGAACTGGTTTGTAATGAAAATTTTCATTAATGAGGAAAATGGCATCCTTTCTGCTATCATCATATTTTTGAATCGGCAATTCTATATTAATGGAAGAAATAAGTTAAAAGATTCTGAGAAACCAATCTTTAAGTTCTTATAGTAAAATCATTATAAACAGACGTTTGTTACAATTAAAAAAAAATTCTCAAGCACGTCAAATGGACGATTTATCTGTTGAAAAACTGGATGATTTATCTGCTATACATCCATTATTCTGGATATTAACAGAGATATCTAGTGGTTTTGTAGGGCTTTCATGAGAAAAAAGGAAAACGGAAAAGCGAAAGAAACTGACTATGAGATTTGCCATCCTTTCCAACTGTATATAGTGGCCTGTACCGAAGCCATTTACCATTCAAAAATGTCCAAATTTCAGCATCTAATAAAGCGGCAAGAGCAAGAAGCTCGATTTCTGTCGCCCATTCACCATCATTTGTCATTTTCTTGATATGTTTCTTCCAATCAGCTAGCGAAAAGTTATTCACTTCGCGAAGTTGATCATCGTACTTCTCTTCAAATCTCACCACCTTGAATTGCAGTGCTGGATCATTTATGCTTAATTGATAACCATTATTTTAAAGAGAAAACAAAATCAATTACATTTTTCCTAACGATCAAGTGCTCCTCATCACTTCCTGATAAATAAAGCGCTATCGAACGAAAGAGACAGTTTCCATCTGCTATAACAGGTACAATGTTTGAAGGTACACTTTTACAGAAAAGAGGTTTTGGTTCTTGCCTGTAAAATATATTTCAAATGATCACATTTATCTACTTTTCGAAAGTGTAATTAATTCGTTTGAAAGGCTAAGCAGAAACAATCATAAAAAGTTTATCAGCCTATCCAAAAAATTCTAAAGTAAATACCGAACTTCTGAAGAACGACAGCGGATATTTAATTCAGCACAGCTACGTTCACGAAAATCAGGTCGGGGTAAACAGAATAATGTCAAATAATCAAGCCTCTGAAAAAGTTAAAAAACCAAGGTAGAGAAAAGACAATTAATTAGTTAAAAAACCAAAGTCGAGAAAAGATAATTATTTGACTTGCAAATAATTTCTAACAAAAAAGAAAATTAAGATGCGAATTGATATTTTTAATAAAGAAGGGTGATCTCTCGTTATTAAAAATATCCACGTTTTCAAATAAAAGAACAAAGGTTTTTGGTCAAGCAAAAATTATAGCAAAAAAAAGCAAGGAAAAAACCTCGTCAGCATTAGGATCATAAACAATGACTGAGGATTTTGTGGGCTGTTTTATTTTTTTCCCAAACTTTTCATCACCACAATCATTAATTTCTTGAACTGTTTTCGATATATCTTTCTGAACGGCTTGTTTAACATCCTTTAACTAAAAAAGGTGTTATTATAAGTTTTTTAAAGAGTTTCAGTTTTTACTTTGTCGAAGAAGTAAATAATCCCCCAAGGTCAGCATGAATTCTAGTGTCAGAAAATTCTTATATTTTTTGAAATTATGTGATTGTTTTTAATGTGAAACTGTAGTGCTACAAAATAACTTTTACTACTTTAATAAAGAATACTTAAACTAAAAGGAGAACAAATCAAAAATTCTAAATACAGCACAGACTTACATTTTCTGAGCTGCTGGAACCACTTGGAACTAATTTATTCGGGGGCGTTTCCAAAACAAAAGACAGTTGGTCATCGCTAATAGTACTGTTAACTGGAAGAAGGCTGCTAAAACAATTTTCAAGATCAGATTGTTTTCTGTTATAAGAAATTAAACGAATGCGCATTGAGAGATTCACTGCATCTTTCAATTTCTTTTGTCCTCTTCTTGATATTGACTGCTTGAAATCATAACGCTTCAGAAAGATGATCAGGCATCTAAAATATAATATCCTTTGATATGGTTAGTAATCAAAGGGACACAATGTACAAAAAACAATATATCTCAACAAAAGTGACTATTAAGGACCAGCATTGAAAGTTGTTGAATTTTTAGAAAGCAACCTTAATTTTTATATTGCTGAAACAATGTGACATAACTATAACGTAGCAAATTTGGGCTGTTTCGTAATTATTATATTATGAAGAATAACAAATTTGTATCAAATTAAAGCAGACTTCCTTAGTAAATTTATAGGCCACGCTCAAAACACTCGGTATTGGTTAAAAAAATTTTAATTATATAATTTACTTTGAAAGACTTCGAAATTCATGACTCATAGTAGCGTATTTTTCATTGCACTGAGGACAAATATGTTCAACCATTTCATTTTTTAAACAATTCTCCAGCAACATCTGCAGTGATGGTGGATCCTTGTTCCTGCAAAAGATTTAAAAAAATTTTTGTGTTGTTATCTTGAAATTCGAAACTTTTGAACAACAAGTGGCAACAATATTTCTGGAAAAACTTTTAAAAAGATTTTTAATGTGAAAGAATATGAAAAAAAATTTAAAAAATAGTAAATTAAATTCCATTGAGCAACGGAACTTACATATCATACACAATTTGTATCGGTAAAAACACTCCTTTTTCATACATTACTTGTTCGGTGCTACATCTACAAGAATTATGGATCATTATCGTACAATCAATGCTTTTTAAATCAGATCTTGAGAATTATATTGATTTTATTAAAAACAGGAGCTTAATAGGAAACATGAAGTATTTAATAATTCTGAAATTTGTTACAGAATTCGGAATAACTCGGGAAATTCAATTGCCCATATTTTTAAAAAAGTCTTTACAGATTGCTCTTTATCTTGGGATGAATGTCAATTTTACTGCTAATACCTAGAATATTAATCAAATTCTTTAAATTAAATAAAAATTTCAAATTGTATTATTTCCTACCAGATATTAATAGAAAGGTTAGTGTAATCAGAAAAGAACAAGAAACAGAATAGATTATGATTTCAAAAAGTTTTCTTCTTACATCTAAAATCACCATCATATAACACAATAAATTTAGAATTATTATAATTGAAAAATTGCTCATTCAAGAATAAACGTTGTATAAATAGAAACACTAACTTATTGCAAGTAATTTCATGTTTTAATTCAAAACCAAAAATTGACGAAAGAGATATCACTGAATCGGATAGATAGTTTCCTTCGGCATCCTTATTGTTTGCAAGTGATTCTAGCTCGGAATCAATTTTTTCCAATATAATAGTTAAAAACTCTTGTGCATCCTGTAGTCACCATTTAAGGTCAAGTACCACTGAATTATCTAATAACAGGAAAATTGTCTTCCCATCCTCTCTGTCTCCTTCCTCTTTTTCAACTTCACCAAAATTTAGCATGAGAAAAATGACAATTTGAAAATGAAAACTAAAAATCGAATACGCTGCCTCCTGTTCAGTCATTTCAAATCGCTCGTCGCCTAGAAATTTAAAAACGTTTTCCAGCAAACACCGCTTCTTTGCATTGGCCGCTCTTTGATAATTTTTCCGCAGTGCTTTTAAAGCGCTGAAAAAAAATCACGTCAGGAAGGCATTCGCTTCCTCATCGTAACATCATACCTTTGTCGCCAAATACACGACACACCGGACACTTCAAAGAAGCTTACAGTGTCAAATATCTTCATTAGACATAGCTTTTGGTCAGCGATTTGGACTGTATGAACAAACATTATATAATTAGAAACACTAACCTATTGCAAGTAATTACACTGCACAGCAACTTCCATTTTTACCCCCTGATGCAGTGTTAAGATAATTTCATAAAATAGGTAAGCAATAGTCTTAAAAAAGGCAACCTCAGGATGGTGCCTTGCGATGATTCGGGCACGATATTTAAAAGATCTTTAAAAGCCTCAACATGAAATAATCCTTGTAATACAGCATTCATATAACATGAGTTTCCAAGATTCAAGAACCTGAAAGGATGCATATATTAAAAAATAATGCAAATGTATGTGAAACCAGCTAAATGATAATATATGCGTAATTATATCTTGTCTCCCCTACAAATATTGTTAAAACCCTTTTACTTTGCGGTAATCTAGTGTTAAAATTTCAAATACAGAATCTCAATTGCGGATCATCGAATCTACTTCAAGTTTGAAAGAATTCTCATTAACTTCTTAAAGTGGAGCTAATTATCGACATAAACAGGTTTTGCTATTACTGTAACCCATTGTGCTACAAAAGACCGCCAACATCTACATGTTTTACAACAGTTTCAATCATTACCCTTTCGGTGAAACAGCATCTGTTCCTGCCGATAAACGCTCGAAATTGGTTGAAAGATCAGGTGCAGATTGTTTGCCATGGGTGCATAAGAAAGTATCGTCCAAATTAGTAATTTTCTTTTTCGGGCTATATCTTTTTGTAATTACACTGTTTATTTCTAATATTCTGTTTTCTTCCTTCAAGAGTTCATCAGAATGTTGTTTGGTAAAAGGATCTCGCAAAACACCGTTGGCTTTTTTCTCAGGTTTATGAACAAGTCTTTTATTGGGAGAACCCAGGTAAATGTCAGTAGAAGTAACTGGTTTTCTTTTTTGATTCCCGTTTTTCACACGCAACGGGACGACCTTTTCGTTATTCTTCCATTCTGTCAAGTTACTGTAAAGAGTAATGTGAAATATCGTAAAATTTATCATGTGATACTTATACTTTATGCATAATATAGTATCATCGTGAAATCAAAACAAAAGTTAAAGCAGAAATTCTTCCGTTATATTTCAAAATAAAAAGATTGGAAGCAAAAATGATTTTGACGAAAAGCATTTTGCGATTTTGTAAACATTATGGCAAATATTCAACTTGTAGAAAACACTGTGTTTCAAAAAAAAAAAGATCTTGCAGTGCATACAGGCATACAGGTTTTATGAACAATTCGACATTAAGAGTACATGTGGAGCAGCATACCTGGCAACATAAGCTTGATGTTTCACACTTATCTGCTGGAATGTTGACAATTTCTTGACCAGTGTCCGTTTTTGAATTGCTGATTGCTGTTGAACTGCTGATTTTGTATCGCCAAAAATGAAAAACCACATTTACATTGAAAAACGACATACAATAACAGTCTTCCAATGTCCAAAATTAATTTTTTTTAATTTCAAAAAATTTCGACAATGTTTTCGAAGGAACAAGGAATCATCCATTTGATTTCAGATAAACAAAAATATATGACGACTATACGTACTGAGTGCTGCTAAAATCTATTATTAGTTGTATTCTTACAACAAAAACATATTTCGATAATTCAAAGCCAACCTATACGTTTCTGCTGAAGATAACGAAAAGCGTAATAAATTGTATGACAATCCTTAAATCTTTCAGGCTTTATGAACACATACTCATTGCAATCAATGCCCGATTTAAGTTTGCAAATCCGAAATATCAAACTACTGCAATCTTCCGCTCGTTCAAGACCACTTATTTGTGTACATTCCTAAATCGTACTTAATTTTAACGTAATGAAATTAAATTCCCTCAAAACAGTTTTTGATTGAACTTTAAGTGATCAATAGTTAACAACTGCTCTAGAAGGTCTCCAGCACCAGCAATAAAATGTTCAAAATCATAATGAATTTTTAATTTCTCTACATGGCGGTACATCTGAATTCCACCGTATTACTTCATGTTTGAATGAAAGAATTAAAATATTGAAAGAGCTCATAAATAGGAAAAAAATACCCTTTCCAGACGTCCTTCTCCATCTTCCAAATAAAATATTCGCAATAAGCTTGCTTCACCATCGTTACATAGCTCAACAAAGCCCTGATGCAAATTATCCGTTAGCAGCACTTCATCTTTTTCCACGTTTATCTTGAAACAAACTTGTATTACCAACATTTTCCTCTTATTTTTCAAATTTGACGTGAAATTTTAAAAATGAATAAAATTTATTTCCTACCGACACTGGCCATTTTGTGAGATATAAAACCATGTGATGATTTGTTGTTGAACTGAGCCACTGCAAAGTTCATTAAAATTAATACATTTAATTAATAATAAGGACCGTGTGTGTTGTGTATGTGTGTATGTGTATGTGTGTATGTGTATGTG